CCAAATGAAATCATAAATGTTGGGTTTGTGATCCAAATTCGGTCTAAGATTACATGATTTGAAGTAACAATATTGGAATGATCAAAATTACGAATCGGGAAAAAAAGTTGCTGCATTTTCGCTAGCATATTACTAGCTGGCCGCTTGAGTAGTAGACAAACTTTTGGAGCAATAAGCTTTTGCTCACCTGTCACCAAGCTCTCGCTCGAGCAACGAGACGGTCTCTCACCAAATGCTAGATGGCATCGTGCGAGTTTTTTTTCCTTTTGTCGGTTTCACGCATATTTTGACCTAGATTTTATCTTTTAGGTTACTTCTAGGGTTTTAACATTTCTTCTATAAATAATAGACTCTTCATTCAGTTTAGGTATTGTTGAGATTGCTGTAACAATATTATTTTTCTCCACTAATTGTTAAATAAAATATTGCTCCTCTCTCAATCTATTTCTTACTTTTAATCTTGTTTTCTGTGTACGATCATATACTTCATATTGTATCATATTTGCCTTCCTATTTTATAACAAGTACTATCAAAGCAAAGTTGTGATTTTGTCTGTGGTTTTTGTTATCGATGGCAACCATGAAGTATGAAATTCCGCTTTTGAATTGCAATACAAGATTTTGTTGTGGCAAGTGAAGATTGGAGCTGTATTGGTGCAAATGGATTTAGATGATATGTTATTGGGATTTGACAAGATGCCCACAACTTGGACGATAGATGAGAAACAACGGAACTATCGGAAGGCACTTTTATTGGTTCATCTTTACTTTTGTAATAATATTTTTCAGAACATTTTGAAGGAGAATGAAGTTGGAGCAATTGTGCATGACTAAAATTCTGATGAGTAAATTGCATCTAAAACAAATGTTGTATTCTCCCCGCAATATAGAAGGTGGCTCTTTAGAAGATCATCTAGCTGCGTTCAAGGAGATCATCGTTGATTTGGAGACATTAGAGGTAAAGTATGATAAAGAAGCTTTGGCCCCGATCCTATTGTGTTCGTTGCTTGCTTCATTTAGGGACATGATTTTGTGTAGTCGTGATACTCTTACCATTAAAACGTGTATGATGACCTTTTCTCAAAAGAGAAGATGAAGCAGCTAGTTGGATCTGAGTCGAGAGATGGAGAAGGTCTTGTAATTCATGGTGATTGACGAAAAGGTAAGTTGAGGTCGAGTTCAACAATCAGGTTTGTTTTTATTGTAAGAAGAAATGACACATCAAGAGAGATTGTGAAAAGTTGCAGAACAAAGATTTCGGTAACATGCAAATTATAGAAAGCAATCAAATACTTCGGACGAAGCCAACATGGTTGAGGACTATTTGAGTGATAGAGATCTATTAGCGATTTCTAACGTGTAATCTAAACCTGACGAGGAGTAAATTTTGGATACAGCTTGTGTGTTCCATATGTGTTCCAATCGGAATTTGTTTGAGACATATGAAACAGTGACACAAGGTGTCGTTGTCATGGGTAACAACGAATCTTGTCAAGTAGCTGGTATTGAGATAGTCAAATTGTAGCTGATAGATGGAACATCTTGAACACTTGATCACGTTTGGCATATTCCAGTTTTGAAAAATAATCTCATTTAGTTGAGTACTCTTAATTCGAAGATGTACACATTTTTTGGAGTAGGTGGAGTCTTGAAGGTTCAGAAGGATCTCTATATTGAATTGGAGGAGCGAAAAAGGTCCCGATTATACATCCTACAGGGTCGGGCAAAAATCGATAAAGAAAAGTCAGCACAGGTTTAGTACCGTGGTTGATATTCAGTTTGGTACAGTACATTTGGGATTTGGGTCTGGGTTCATATTGAATAATACTACTCAGTCAAGTTTGGAGGATATAGTTAATTCCGTTTTGCTAGCATTGTCCGCAGTTCCATCGTATTCAACTGCTAGGGACAAACCCGTTAGAGATAGGTACGGGGACACTGATTTGGTTGCGCATGCTTTTAAGATTTTTGAAGGTATTGAGACTAGCAAGGGGCTTTCTTTGAAAGCATTGAAAGTTGATTTTGCTACAAGGTGTGCTTCAATCCTTTTTGTTATTTCTAAATTCTTTGTGAATTTTGGGAAACCCTTTATTTAGGTTCATGTATCTGTGTTGGATATTGTGCAAGAGGGAAAATATATTTTGTGTTGCTGGAGTAGTTTGGTTTAGGTTGAAGAGTTTAGTTGTTTCGTTGTAGTCGAACTTATTTTTCAGGAAAAGAAAATTTGGAGCTTCATTCGTTGTATCAAAATTTGATTCAAGGTAGAACTTTATTGGGCTTGTGACCCAAATTCGATTTAGGATTACGTGATTTGGTGTAGTAATCTTCAAGAGATCAAAATTATAGACTATGAAGAAAAATTAATCATTTTCGCTAGCTTGTCGCTAGCTAGCTGCTCGAGCAATAGGCGAACTTTTGAAGCATCCCCGAGCTCTCGCTTGACGCTCCCTGTCGCTAGACAGCCCTCGAGCAATGGCATCGTGCGAGTCTTTCTCCTTTTGTCGGTTTTACGCATATTTTACCTAGTTTCCATCTTTTAGGTTAATTCTAGGGTTTTGCCATATCCCCTACAAATAGTAGACTCTTCAATCAGTTTAGATATTGTTGAGATTGCTATAATAATATTATTTTTCTCCGTTGGTGGTTGAATAAAATATTGTTCCTCTGTCAATCAATTTCTTTCTTTTAATCTTGTTTTCTTTATACAATCATATACTTCATAGTGTATCATATTTACCTCCCCGTTTAATAATAATAAAAGTTGTTTTGCTTGATTTGGACTAATTTAGAAAATGAAATTGGTTGGTCTGAATTGAAAGTATATGTAATCCTTTGTTAATGACAAATATCAAGCATACGGAATTGAGTCAAATTTCATTAGATGCATCCTTTTTTTCATGGTGATTGTGCAATCTTTGCCAATTTCAACAAGTACACATAGACAGACACAGGGGTGGGCATGGGTTCACATGACTTTCCAACTTTGGGGCCATTTTTTCCCTTATGTTTTTGTCTCAATTTTCGAAATCATTATATTATCAAACGAAGTCAAAAGATTGCGTCCTTAATATCTTTTCAAAGTAGTCATAGCCTAGTTTTCTACGTTGTTAATGACGCACGAAACGATTAACCGTACTAAATGTTAAGTAGTCCATTCCAAACTAATATTTCGAGAGATTCGATAATAGGCTAACTTTAAAAATTCTCTGACGATCATACACTAGCTGAATCCACAAATCACTTATGTCATCTCGAAGCTCATTTCGAGAACTACATTATAGGCATATCAAATGGTCCAAATAGATATCGAAAATCGTTAAAAAGATGCATATAATTCATATTTTTTTTTAAAAAAAATCAATTATTATTATTGCGATACAAATTTTCAATATAATTTATATCACTTTATTAGGAAATTCTACATAGGATATGACATCAAAAACTTTCGAAATTTTACATCCGAAAAAGTCATGCCCGTGTGAATTGTTGGATGTAAAATTTATATGGTTGAAAAAATAAAAATATTAGATATAGATTTTTGAATGAAAAATTATCACAACTTTTTTGCAAGTTTGATCGTCCCCCTAACTCAAAATATCTGCATCCGCCCTTGTAAGTGAGACTAGATCAGGGGCGAGGCAGAAGAGGCAACCACCTCAGGCCAAGAATCATTATGGGCCAAAAAATTTCATTTTAAAATGATAATTTGTTGACAAGTAGTCAATGGTGTAGTGGTAAACATTTCGTACTGGCCCATGGGCATATTGGTTCGAATTCTAAACTTCCTTCCTCTTGAGATACACAAGATAAAATTTATAAAAAATACTAAACAATTAGCACCAGCCTTATTTGATTCCATCTTGCAGAAAAAATGAGTTTTGAAATAGTGACTTTTGAAAGAATCTGTATTTAAAAAATAAGATATTTGGGTTCACGTGTGTAAAACTATTTTTATGAAAAAATGTGATTGAAAATAAATTTAGAAAAAAAATGAGTTTTGAAAAAAATAAAGCCCAGACAAGGGCACAGTCTTTCGCACCAAATTATTTTCGGGTTTTCAATTTCAAAATTTCAAAGAAAAATCTTTTTTTTTTTTTTTTTACACTCAAATCTCATTAAAATTTGGTTGAATGCACGACTATTTTACGAAGAAAATTGTACAAAATACTTGAAGAAGACGACTGCCTGTCATGACAATATGTTTCTAAATGTAGGAAATTTTGTTTGCATTATTTTTGTATTTGTGTTTATGAGCAGCTATAATTTTCATTTATTTTCATACTTCACTAAAAACCCTTATAAAGGGGAAAAAATTAAATTAAATTAAATGCTTGAATACGATTTCAGAGTCTAACTTTTTTAGTTCGACTCAGGTTTAAGAAATTTGAGGCCAGGCCTAATAGCCATACACATAAGAATGCATGTTTTATCTCATTTTGATTGTTACTCGATGATTATATACACTCAAACATATTTTTATTCACATTTTGTGCTATTTTAAATTTTTTCCAACCCAAAGAAAAATAAACCACCAAACATCAAATGTCTTCTGTGGCACTAGTCAAACTTAATTACAGATTGAGCATTACAAAGTTGATTCTAAATTGAGAATTAGGACCATGTTGAAAATGACTTACTAAGTTGGGATTGGCTCTAGACAAGTTTATTCACTTGGAATATGGTATTAAAGTGCTCGAAAAAATTGTTCACTTTAAAAATATTAAATTTCACATGTCTAAAATGTGTGCTATAACTTACTTTTTATGTTTGTGATAAAATTATAAGAACAAACCAATCGCAACCTTACAATACTTGCATGGAAGAAATAAAGCATGAGGTAAGGAAATACGCTTATTAATCAACCAAATGAGGCTTAGATTAATATGTTTGAATAAATTTGATTACAAAATCAAACATATGCAATCTAGTGGTTTATTTTTAATTCAGCCATGAAAATAATCACTAGATATGAAATGGAAATGCAAGGGACTGAGACTTATTTAATTACACCATGAATTCTTCCACGGCTGCATGTGCTATCCCACCACCGTATCCTGCACCAAATCCAAATCCACTACCGGATCCTCCACCCAATCCGCCTCCACTGCCGCCTCCGCCACCAAAACCTCCTCCTCCTCCTTGAGCACCACCTCCAAATCCACCACCAAATCCTTCTCCAAAACCAGAACCACCCCCTGATCCTCCACCTCCACCTCCACCGCCACCGCCTCCGCCACCTCCTAAATTCCCATTATCAAAGAAGAATTTTTCATCATTGACAAGACCATCTGAGCCCACTAGTTCTCTTGCGGTGATGGTGCAACTGAGAACACCGAGAAGAACCAAGAGAGCAATTTTGGAAGTCATCTCAATTTGCAAGTAAAAGATAGCTCTTGATTGATGAGAATTTAGGACAAGAAGAAGGGATTATATATTGCTTGAATATCAGTTTTTGCA